ACACCCAGACAACACCCAAATTTGGTTCCTTGTGCTCATTGCCTCGAGCTCGTAAAAGTGTGCACGTTAAAAGCTAACCTTACTGATGATGGCCAGTACCAGCGAAACGTCTGTCTCCCCTACGTGGCATTTCTACCACTGTGTGTGATGGTTACTCAGGTTCAAATTGCCGTCGCTTACCGGAACTGTAGTGATTGTTGCGGCCTAGGGGAAAAGAACTACAATTTCGACAGTTTAGGTAAACGTATTCACCTCAGTCTTTAGTCAGAGGGTCAGGACTTGGATCCTACGATACATATGTAGACTGTGCCGGTGGAAAAAGTCAGGGTTCATCGGTTCTTAACGAAATTTTTAACTTTGTTCTATATCTGTCTTCCTTGGGTGATGCCCTGTCTCGCAATTTGTTTCACTTCTACGGAAATGCTCAAACGAGAAGCGGAATTTTACAGGCAGACGTTAAGCATTTGATTTGTCTCGGTGCCTGTCGACTGATGCAGACATCTTAAGCGAAACCCTAAAATGCGTTTTCGATTAGAAAGGTAGATCGACCATCGTGCAGCCGAAGCCCATGATATTTTAGATATGCCAGAATGTCAGCTTTTGAATGCATACCTTTTCATTCATCTGCAAGAACCACACCCTATGAAAAGTACTTACGTAATTAGTATGCATTTCCTATGGATTTTCGATGCCCTTAATTAAATATCGCTTCTTGCACATAATCGGTGGCACGTCACAGCGTCCTTCAATGATATACTCGAGAGAAAGATATATTGAACTTTAAAAAGGTTTCCTAACAGAGATGGGAACGCCACCCTACTACATCGTTGGTTTATTACATTGCTACTGAAATCGTATTCGATAGGCATGGTAGTATTTAAGATATTTCGGTTTGCGGTAAAAAATGGCTGATGTCCTTATACGTCAATAGTGTTGTTTTGACTACCAGTAGGGATGTGATTTGTAATTTTTTTCAAGAGGAGGGCTGTGGTGTCAATCGAATGTGGACTATTGTCCGGATTTCTATGACTAGTAGAAATGACTATTGGTGGGTATGATCGGGTGAACTATATCGTTAGGATTCAAGAGTTGTAAGAGCTAGGGTAAGAGTTACATTTTCATTAACCATTGATTGAGCATTCAATGATTCCCTAATTTCTTGATTAAAATAATTTGTTTTTAATTAATTTAATTAATAATAAGTAATAAACATTTTCAATTGGATTAAATTTCGGAAATTGTCACCTAGCTGTTTAGGATTTTCGGTCTACATGCTGTGTGCTTTCCCTATTAGGACCACTGTACAGTCTTCAATCCTATTCCGAAGATGCCTTATTCTTTTCATAAAATTTTCTGTCGCACGTGAACCAGGTTATATATTTAACGAGTGGCTTCATTAAACGAGCATATAATATCCGATTTGTGTTAACTAAAATATAGATTTGGTTTGAGTGTAATATTTAAAGAAGCCGTGATATGCGACCTATTTCAACCGTCTAAAACTACAAGAAAGAGCTAAGACGTCAAACGCGTTGAGTAGATACAAATTTATCAAACCCGACAGAAATCCTCACAAAGTATTTAGCCGAAAAAAGAGTGGTCGGTGATTGAGGCCCAGTTCCATTTTCGGTACATAATCGGTCACTTATTCTGGCTTCTCTACCAATTCTGACGCTAATAACAGGCCCAAAATCCACTATTTTCGTCTGTTTTGGATGTTGGGTCCGATACGATAAATGTACACACCCTCCAATATCGGTACAGTTAATTTCACGTCTTATGAAAAATGTCAACTGAAATTCTGAAATGTATTTTCGATTCGAAAATATTAATTAAGTGTAGTTGTAATAATGATTACCACGCAAACTAACCTCAGTATATTTCAGCTACTTCCTGATGCCGGCATTTGAACAAAATTCTTTTTGACCGCCGGCAAAAAATATCTTCTGCAAAACATGGCTGCTTAAGATGTGTGCATTTTTCTCATTGTCGGTGGCCGTTTAAATGCAAATATATTTTATAGAAAAAATTCCCAAGAATAATCCGTCTTGTATTCGTTTGGCAGAAAGTTGTGCTTTCTTAAACTTTGTACACTTGAAGGAAGGGTATGTTTCGGTTTCAAAAATTTCCTAATGATGAAATTTTTTGTGACAATTAAATGTGCATTCATAAAGCAATATATCTCTTCATTTATTAAATCTGCCTATAAATTTTGCAACGTGGTCTGTATCAGTGGCAAAATTTTACAAGGACTATATGATTTCTTCCTCATACCGTACGTAAATACTTCCTTGTCCTAAGACATACTGTATACAGCATGTAGTTTTAGGGGCTTGACTTCAAGTATAATGGCTGATAGAATTCAAACTTATTCAGCAATTTCAAAACTTTGCTAAAACCGGAATATACTCTTTCTCCGAGTATAGCATTTGGAGAAGGTGCAATTTTATGCCAGAAAAGTATTTAATATTTTATGCGCGTTATCGATAAAGTATACATTAATTTATTGGGGCAACGAAATACGGAGAAAAGTGCATACTACTTAAATAGCCATTTTTTAAAGAGTAGCACTTCCGCAGGCTGTCAGAAGGCCGGTGGTTCAAAAAATGGTAACCCTGTAGCGGTAAAAGTAGTGGGTGTACTCGAATCACTACATTCATCTGGCCGAGATCCCAGGTTGGAATTTAAAAGACAGAAGTCACCAGAAGGAGTGGTTTACTATCTACAGAACACCCTGTTGCTGTCTCAGGCGGCAGTGGCCACTGGCGAAGCCAGGGCTGCTGTTGACTGTGTCCAGCCAGACCCGAGAGAGCATGAGACAGTGGTGGCAGCTGCTTAAGTAGGATTGCGGAGCAGGTTTAAAGATTCTGTTATTGGTGTGTTGCAACTGCCCGAGGGGATGTCGCCTGCAAAGGCCCCCTGCTGCGTTGGCCAAAGAGGTGCCCTTAGGAAGGCGTTCCTTTTTGGACGCACGTGTATGAGCGGGTGTGTGTGACTGAATAAGCCGAGGTCAACTGTGGGGGCGCCGTAAAGCCGAACGACAGTGGACGCTGGTGCAGCTGTTATCAGTAAGTCTGAAGTAGCTAAGTGGTGAAGCCTCGGTGGACGGGAGCGCTAGTGAAAAAAAGCATTGGTGCAGTTATTTGTGACAATGCATGGCTTCGGGGCAGCGAGCCTTGGAGAACGAAGGGTGAACAGGCATTGTAGCCTTCCACCAAAACGCGATGTGACAAAAATATTCTGAGATTAGGATGTACCCTAATCAGTGTTCTAACCTTTATCGATAACACGCACAAAATATTTATTAAGTACTTTATTCAAATCGAAAAAAAACATTTCAGAGTTTTGGCCGACTTTTCAGGAGATAGGGATATTGACTGTAGTTGTATTGTATATATGTTTCCCCACTTGCATACACTCGCCCAACATGGTGTATTCTACCCCCTAGATAATCCGGTTCAGCGAGTGCCCAAATATAGGATGGAAACACTGATCACGGTGTTGACGCTTCGTCGACTGGACAAGGACAATTTTGCGCCTGAAGAGGTGGAAGAGGCCAAGGTAGCGGCCGAGAGACGGCGCGAGGAAGAGGAGGCAGCCCGTGCAACTGAGGAGGTAAAAAAAGCCAAAAAGATGAAAAAGGCAGCCACTAAGTAGCGAGCACCACACAGGCATATGCTGAGTAGGTTTAGTCTGTGTGTGCGTTTGGGGCGCCTGCGCGTCTTGCGCGTTGCGTTTGCTCAAAGCAGTTGGGTTCGTTTTGCGTTGCCTCATTTGTTTTAATGGTAACAGGAGTGCGCGATATATTATCGATTTTTTAAAATTTGTTCAAAGCAGTTGGGTTTGTTTTGCGTTACCTCATTTGTTTTTAATGGTAACAGGAGTGCGCGATATATTATCGATTTTTTAAAATTTGTTTAAACTCCCAGAGGACGCTAGTAATAACCCTGCCAGCACACGCCCAAAGCTGGGCGGAGGTGACGACGGGGGATACGGGTGTATCCGGGGTTGATGTTTAAGGAGTATGTATTATTCCACAACCCGAAATTTCCAGAATGCTGTAGATGGACCTAAAGGGCAATCTAACTCATTTTTGACTATTTTTTGAACTTATAGTGCGTTTTTAGGTGACGTTTGGTATTATTTGTACGGATAATTTGATGATATGCATACTTCCCGGAAATTTGACGGGGAGATCCGCGGGTGAGGACGGGGGTATGCGAGTCGAAAATCCCGTCCTCACCCCCGTCGAATCCCCGTCGTCGCCCCTGGATAACTCCCTATCTCCCCGGAATTTCGACGGGGGAATCCGGCGACTTGGCTGGCAGGGAAGGTTTATCGATAAAGCATCTCTTGTGCGCCGTCAAACCTAAAGCAACTCCCTATTTTTGCAGTCAATCTTGACTTTTTTGGTTTTATAGTTGGTCAGTAGTGTGCAAAATGGGGAGTTTGTTTTTTTAATAAAAGGAGACGGTCTTCAAAGTTAAAATAATGGCAAAATATGAAACTGTACAGTACAGGTATTAATTTTTCGTAATAAGAATATTTTAGGCCTAGAAAGATCTGGTAAAAATGCTTAGAACTGAGGCAAAATAATTCCAATATGCACATTTGTGCTATAGGTGTGCGGCCAGATATACAGCTAGAATTAGTAATAATATAGGCAGAATGCTTCATATCCACCGAGGATTTATCCTTTTAGAACGATAGTTAGCAATCTTCAAAAAATATTTATAAACCAAGAAAGAAGCAGTGAAAAGTAATTGCTACAATTAAGGTAGGAGCAGAGTTCAGCGAGCCACCACTTTCAAAAACTACAGGAGGAAAACTGGTTGCTTTGCGGAAATATATGGAGGTGAAGATTAGGTTGATACTATAATAGCAGAATAGACCGTAACCCTCACTTCATTTCAGTTCAATTTTATCAAGAAAAATATAAGCAAACACTTTTGAGCTTCCTACTGGTGACACTGTGACTATAAAATGCATCGATACCGCAGCAAAATTGAAAAACGGATAGCATCTGTTGGTCGAAAATTGTAAACATATGTGACTACTCACTTATTGTGAGTAGAATTCACTAGGTCACCACCAAATTACCGAAGTGACGATCATGATACGCCCTAGCTGATTTCCGAGTTTGCCGAGATGGTCAAGAAAACAGAAGAACCCACCATGACTGTCAACAGGCCGCTGCTTGTCGACATAAGGGAGATGAATGTATAGGTGATCAATTTGACTCGGCCAAAAAACATCCGTTAACAAATATCACCCCCAAATAACAAGTAATTTAATAGGTATACCATCTTGATTCACATATGACAAGACTGCAGAGGCCGGTTAGTGTTATAGAGTTCAGTTTTTCGGCGCTCCTTTCTGGTTTTGTTTAATTCCCTGTCTTTTGGTTAATTATAGACTTAGCGTCCCCACCTTAAGTAAAATAACTCCTCCCGGATCACCTGTTGCTGTCTGTTAAAAGAAAAAAAAGCATGTTTGCATTTGCGTCCTCCAATTGTATTCATTTTGATTTTAAGCTGCTTACTATTATTTTCATTAAATTATGGCCTCCGTATCGACTGTTCAAAAAGGATTGTACATGAATGTCTAGAATCATTTATGTTTATATTTTCATTCAGATTCATCAGGGAAATGCTCCCTTGGCGCCCAGCGAGGAAGTCCAAAACTAATCGAATTTTCTGGTATGCTGGTTCGGTAGACTGCACGACTCATGAAAATCTCGACTTTTTCCAATAAATCTTTAGGTATTGTACAGCCGACTTCTCTCAGAGTCTTTTTAATCAGGGATAAACCATGCAGGACAGCGGGGTACGAAGACGATGGTGTTTGACTAAGGATAAGGTATTAACCTGAAACCAAAAATCGGCGCGCGCGCAAACTAAGCAGGTGTCGCTAACCGAAACGAAAGTGCAACTGAAACACTCTGGGCTGCCTTTTCTGCCATCACACTAATGGATAGGCAAAATAGGATTGAGTCGATGGTTTTTAAAAATACCTTTCACAAGATGAACTTTTTGCATTGAAAATTTCGTAGATGTTTGGAAGACTTTAAGTTGTATTGAAACGCGTATGGAACAGAGCGGGGGAAGTTCTTGCTAACTGCTACTCACATTTTTTATGGAACGGGGATCAGTGGTAGGTACGCAACCAGTTCGCATTTCACATGCTCTGAAATTAAACATTACGTTCGTCTTAATAGGCTGCAGCGGTAGCAACATTTGTGCGAAAACGACAGTAGCTGTGGCCTGGACTGTAGAAAAGCATGCGGAAATTTGGGTGCCCTGAACGGTTTACGCACATGGTGCATCAGCTCCATGGCGCGTTGATGGCGAACGTCACTGACCAGGGGTCGGGATGCAAAGCATCCACAGTGACTAGTGGAATAAAGTAGGTCCTATCGTCTTCAGTCTCATGTTCTTTGTCATGCAGATGGACGATTACCGTGAAGAGCGCTCTGGGATCTCATTCAACTTTAGCGCTGACTTAAGCCAGCTTTTTAATCCAAAGTGAGATAGATATGCGACGCTAGAAAGAGGGCAGTTAAGCTGCTGCAGTTACGATCAAACCCGGAAATGGGGAATATGAACGCCTTTATCAGCGTTTAGATTACCTGCAAAGTCACGCAGACAGACATATAAAGGTAGGGATCTATAGAGGGGTTCTAAAAGGGCGAACATGTTAACTGACCGCTCACTTACAAATGTTAAGTAGGTTGATTTTTCCACAATCTCCTAATTTTTCCCACGCCGCCCGTTGGTCCAGTAGGGACTGGGTTGTGATATTGAACTGCAGAGGGGGCCTCGGAAGGCCACCATATAATCGCTAAGGTCGGTATACCAAGTAAAATGGCGTTTAAAATTTATAATGAGGATAACCACTTACTTACAAATTTTAAGTAGGGTAAAATTTTCGCAATCTTCTAACTCCCACACTCGATCGCCGCTATTCTAGTTGGGGTTAGCATTACTACTATAAAATTATCTCAGTGGCTTCGCTCGAGGTCAGCGAACATTTCCCCGACATACACGCGCTCGCCGTTGGTCTAGTGGGGGTTAGCGATGACATTAAAATGTTATTCAGTGTTCCCGCCCCAGGTAAGGGTATATCCATCAGCTTACCCTCGTTACTTATTTTATTTTGCAGAATTATTGAGAGCTTATTTGTTTCCTGGCATACCACACCCATGCTATCCCCTAAAATCAGGTGCCCGTAAGAGTGAGGGACGCGCTTCGCGCGCACTGTGGGGACCCCACTATAGATCCTTACCC